GTATTTACATATTTTTATCTTACCTATTCCCCCTTTCAAAGAGAAAAAGGCTTAGTGACAGAGAAGCTTTTTTTAGAGAAAAAGCACTAAAGCAGTAGCAAATGAAAAGGAATGTAATTTTGGAAAATACATATCATAAAATTTTAACCTAAATAGTTATTTAAATAATTGCAAAATATAAATTTTGATACTATTTTGTCCAATTGAAAATTCTCTAAAAAGATACGTTTTTTAAGCTTTTCAAATGTTCTGAGCAAATATTATAAAGCCAATTCTAAATTGGAATCACGATTAGGAGTTTTTCACGAAATAACTGAAAACATACATGGTTCTTGTCTTTCTTAAATATCAAATATAATTTTGACAGTTCTTATGTTTTGAAAGTCTTTCGTGAAAAGTATGGTAATCAATATAAAACCTAAATATTTCTATTACATATTCATGAGATTATATGAAAAATTAATAATTCTCATCATAAAAATGCTCATCATAAAACAAAACCACATGTTATTATTATAAAGTAATATAAAATCAACTTTAGAAATTAATACACATAAATTAACAAAATACAATACGAAATAAACTTTGAAGATGAAAAATATATAAATTTAAATTTAAATCAACAATAGTCCCTTAATGTTTAATTTTAATTTGTGTATTTCCCCTCTCTATTCTAAAAATAGTAATACCTTTTATTGAACAGCATTATTTCTAGATCAATCCATGCATATGACCTACATAACACTGTTAACAAATCTAATTCTGAACTTAACTCAAAATTTCAAGAACTGAAATTTTCTTTTAATAAGCTGCCAAATTGGATAACTGAGCACTCTTCTTCTGCTTCTCTCATCGTTAAGATGCTGGTGTTGTTTCCTTCCTATCACAGCAATTTAAAAAACATAAGTATTCTTGAAAAGGCATGATTAGTGTGCCCATTTGTTTGCAATTATAAAATGTTTATTAAAATAAAAATGAATATGTAATATGTTGCAGCTGCCAAGTTTGCCCTTCATTATGAATCAGCATCTTCAATATGTACACTATCAATATTTCTACAATGTTACTTCTAAGTCTGCTTCATTACATATATTATTACCACAAAAACTTATTTTATGCTATTTATAATCTAGTATCTAAAAGCTAATGGCATAAAATATGCATATACATAAGAATTTGGATTATCTTATGCATAATATAGGTTAAAAATTAAGCAAAGTGTATGGTTTGAAAAATGTTAAGCTACCTGATTCTGGTTTAACATCAAGTTTTTAGAATACATGAAGAAGTTCTCTTACAAAGTATTTAGAATGGGGAAATTATTTAACAATTTTTACACATTTTTAATTTAAACTTGGAAAAAAAAGATCTGGCTAAAGATTGAATTTTATTGGAAAAACAAACTCTGGAAACTTTAACTTTTGGAAAATTTTTATAACCATAATTTATAGAAATTAAGTAAAAAGTTTATATTTTGTTCAAACAAAACTTATATTTCTGTCTGAGAACATTTGTCATAATAATTTTTCACTAATTTATAAGTATTAAACATTGATTTCAGTTTAACATTTAACATGACATTATTTAAAATTTAAAAGAAATACTCTAAATATTCATAACAATTATCCAAGCTAAAGGAGCTGTGCTTCTTTTTTTTTTTTTTTTTTTTTTTTCCTATTTCTTTACATTATGTATGAAAAGCTTCTAAAGCTGGTTTAAAAAAAAAAAAAAAAAAGAATTATTCAGTTTTAAAAAAAACTTGTCAGATCTCTCCATTTTTTTTTAGAAAATCGTACTCTATTTATCTAAACAGTTGAATGTTGAATTTTCAGTTTATCTCTGATTTTGGCATTTGATATTTTTGTATCTTGATTCTAATAAGACAGACATCTGGGAAATTTCAATCACTACAGTACTTGTTACAATAATTGTTCCATTACAATGAACTGTACGATATGCCAGCTGTATACTAAATTGATTTTTGCTGTATTGACTACAAATAATAATATTTTCTTTCTGTTAGATGCAAAAGATCATCATAACAAGTGCCATCTGCATAATAAAATAGTGTTGAAAATATATTTTCCTTAATTTCTAAATAACTTATCACACTGAACAACATTCTGTTAAAAATTGCATTTGATTCTAAGCAAAGAACTTGAATAATTTTCTTAAAATTCAATATGTATTAATAAGTACAGGAATTTATTACTACAAAATTTCACCAATTATATTCTGATAACAGGAGGAAGAGCCTAAAGATAGTTGAGATTAAGTATATAATATAGATTTTTAAGAAACTGAAAAGGAAAAATTAAAACAAATATGCAGTCAACAATGAATCCAGAAATATTATTCATATTCACCCTAAACTAAGTAATTCCTTTTTGTGCATAGACATGCAGCAAAAGTGGGACCAGGAAATGCAAAAACATTTCCTGGGCCTCCTTTTTGTTGGAAGTCTTGTCTGAGGCTTGCATCCAGGAATTAGGAAATTTCTTTCACAATAAGCCTGATCGTAATATTGTCGCTGGACCCCACCAGCGTCCGAGTGGTTAAGTCGCTGAACACTGGTAGTTTGGTCCGAGGTTCGAATCCCGCGAACGGGCTGACTGCATGGGTGTTTTCATGGTTTTCCCCATGTGTAACGTGTATACGAGCCAGTTTCCCTTAGAAAGTCCTCCACGAAGGCATCCCTCCCCTTAGGCAGATAGCCCTAGTGTTCTTTGCCATAATTAAATACACCACACCAACACCATTATATTGTCGCTAGAGCAGAATCATTACTACCTTTCATTATAAATGACTTGAAAGCACTTGTGTCATGGGAATCAGAATAATAATATGCAATATTTTGGTTTTTGTATTTGAATTCCTTTCAACTTACGTTTATGTGGTACTTGATGCTGCCTAACTGAAATGACACAAAAACAAAGCTGGAATGAAGCTTAAGGGCCCCCTATCTGTAACTACTCAACACTGCTTTTGTTTCTACAAAAACCATTATATATATATATATATACATACATTTAAATAAATTTAAATTTAAATTTTAACAAACACGTATAAAGCAAAAAAGCAAATTTAAAGCCAAAATAAAGGGGAAAAAAAACCAAAATAATTTTTAAAAAAAAATTTAAAAAATGTGCAAACATATAAAAGATTTAATTCTCAAACTAATCTATAATATCATTTAAATTCAGAAGCATAAGCAAATCGAGTGCAAAACCAATCCATGAAAATAAATTACTAATTTAGCAAATTAAAATTAAACCAAACAATTTTTTAAAAATGCATAAGTGAATGACTGTTGAGTAGGCAAGAGACAGACTTATCAAGGGGAAGTTGCCTCCAAACCTAACTCTCCAATCATTCAATTCGTGTTTCATCATTCATGCAGGCAAGGGTAAAAGTCAAAACCAAAAGTAAAAAGAAATACCAATAAAGTGGTACCCTTAGAAATTAGCATTTAAGAATTAAAGTTCTAAAAGGAAAATACTAATGAAGTCTTATGAGAAACAAGCAAGTAAAGTCAAGTATTAAATTAAACTTTTTTTAAAAAAATTAAATTTAAAAAAATTAATTTTTTATAAAAAATAAAAAATCAATGTATTTTAGAAACCCTTGTCTACAGAAACTCCCTGACACGAATATGCATATTAATAATACGCCTATATATATGAAAGCAAAATCCCAGCTTGCTTCTGTTTCCTTTCAAAATTTAAAAATATAAATCCACTAGTTCAGCAGAACATCTAAGGGCCTTTTACAAGCTTTGAGTCCCTCCTTATACTACTGCATCCCTTGCATACCTATATTTATGCCACTGAGCACAAACAAATAGTTTTCTCTCACACAGTTGATGCATGCCCATATTTTCCAAACTAAGCTTGTGTACTCGTTCTTCTTCATCAAAGTTCTGTAGGCATCCTCACAAAACCACTTTTATGTTTCATAATCTGTATCTCAGTTCAAAATCCTCTTGTTCCACCCATTTTATCTCTTTATTTTCTTGGAGTTTTCATTTAACTTTTCCCTTACCCTTTCTTATATTTTGTATTCTTTTTTCTGGTTTGTCAGTTAGGATGGTAGATTTTCTTTTGCATCAATCTCGATTGGCAAGCAAAATGCAAATTTCCAGCACATATTTGCAAAAATGAGCTGAAAAATGTATTCACAAATTGCAGCAACTTCATACTGATCCCCCCCCTCAAAACTTTCTAAGGAGAAAAGGTTAGGTTTCTATGGAGAAAAGTTAGATTAGGGTACTTTGGTTGCTATAAATCTTCTAAAATAACCTATTCTCCAATGAAGATTCCCATCATTATTTTATGTAAAGAATGCCACATGTTACATTCCTGTTGAAAATAAGCCATTTTGGAGCTCTTAGTAATTAATTTGATTCATAGACTACTATCTTCCAATCTCATATTATCATTATGAAGTTCTTATTTTCATATAATATTAAATGTCCTTAAGCTCAGGTTGCTGCATGCATCAGCAATTTTAGCCCTGAGCTGGGCATTGAACACTTCTGAATTATTAAGACTTGCAAAGCCTTTAAGAACTACTAATAGTTTTTAATGTTATTACCATGAAATGGAAAAATTAAATGGTGCTATAAAAATTTGATTAATCATTTACAAATATATTAACTACATTTTTTCAGCAGAATAAGATTAAAATCCAAATATAGTGAGCTTTAAAAAAAGAGTAATAGAATACTGAACTAATCTTGTTTAATGTTCATCTGGTATAACACTTTCAATTTATCATTAATGTTAATCTTTGCAAAATTTGGGTTACAAAAACAAGCATTAATTAATTAATTTCAAAATAGTCATTTTATAGATTAAACAGTCATTCCATTAACAAATTTGAGAAGAGTGTTGTTAAAACTTATGGACACAGAAAATAAAAAATTGATATAGAAAAAGAAAAGAAGTATTACTTTTTATTTTTACAGTAGTTTTATGCATTTTTTTCTTACTTTCATTTAGGATAAAAATGATTTTTTACCAAAAAATTTACATGCTTGCGTGCGATGCTCCAAAAGTTTCAAGAAGCCCAGTGATCTTGTTCGACATATGCGCATACATACAGGAGAGAAACCGTACAAATGTGAAACTTGTGGAAAATCTTTTACTGTGAAATCCACTCTTGATGGTCATTTAAAGACACATACTGGAGAGAAAAACTTTTCTTGCCATGTCTGTCGTTCCCTTTTTTCTACAAAAGGAAGTTTAAAAGTCCATATGCGAATTCATACAGGTAATAAAATAATTTGCATATTTTTGCTTAATTAAGATTTTGCAAGTAAATGATATTTACCATTTGTTATCAAATAGGTGTCATAGAATAATAACTGGTGCCTAGAAATTCTTCCAATAGTAGAAGAGACAAAATCAGGAATAATGTAAATTTATAATATTAAGCATGATTCTAATATTTAAATGTGAATCGTATACAGATTCAAATACTTCAAATATAATTATTAAAAAAAAAACCTTAGACTATTCCTCAAAAGTGATTTTAATTAAAGTTGCTTTTTTTCATTATCTTTTAATATGATGCCAGGCAAAATTCTGTCAGATTAGGCACATATATGTATACATTTTATATTAGAGAATGGATTCATGAAATATAAAAATTAGTTATATATAACATATTACATAAGGTGGTTACCTTGGCGCAATTTAGTGATTATTTTTAGAGATGAAAAGATAAAAGTTCTTTATTGGGTTCAAGTTTGTGATTTTTGCACCCTTTTTTTAGAAAGATTCCCAGATTGTAAGTCAGTAAACATCTGTTTTCACTTGAAAAAAATCAGAGAATCTTAGGGACTTTATGTAATCCTCTGCCAAGAGCAGCAATCAAGGAAACGCATTTCCTCATTGTTCCCTTTAGAAAAGTTTCTGTGAAATTCTGTATTCCTGCCAAAATTTTACTACAGTTTCTTCCATTGCTAACAAATTCCATAAGCTCATACTTTAAAACTAATGCAAACAAATATGATAAATCATTAGAACATATCGTAACCAATGGAACTTCGAATACAACAAAAATGAATGCATAAAAAAATGGCAGCATTGTTTGACTGAAGGCTTGTTATGAGAATGGTTATGTACATGACTGCCAGAGTTTGACACATTCTGAAAACTTGGTGACTTCTACTAAAGTAGTTGCATTAATATGCAAGTACCAAAAATTAATTTTAAATTTTGCCACTGAATATTCCTAATCATGCAGTGATTAAGGAATTATGTTTATCAAGTTAAACTTTCTTTATGAATTGCCAATAGATAACCTTAGTTTATTAATCATTAGCAATGTATATGTATGAATTGGTGCTATATTCTAATATAATTTGAAAAATGCTGCATACAAAGCATCAATATTAGTGATGACTAAAAACTAATAACTGGTAACCATTGCATTGACTTAATGAAACTTAAATTGTGAAAATTCCATTCTTCCACTCACAGTGATTTGCAGCTTAATTTTTCTTATGAAATTTTATTTGATCAGAATTTGCTTAATTTACTGTGCATGTTTTATGAAGATTCAGCCCGTTAAGTTTATCTGCTCAGTAACTTTCATATCCATTGTATTTAAAAGTGATAAATAAAAGCTTTCTTTCTCTACTCAGGATTTTCTCTGCAAAATGAAATTAGCCATAAATATAAAATTTATAATGTCTAATTTAATATAAACATATTTTAGTTCAGAATTATATATTATAAAGGGAATTTAAGTCAATCTGGAGTCACTTTGGAGTGGTATTGCTGCGCATCTCAAAAACCTCCCGAAAAACTCCTAGTTTTTTATGTTGTAAGGTTGGCGGCTATATATCAAGTATGTTAGGGATTTATTTTGTGTATTCATTTTATATGACATTAATTATCATAGAATGCTTACATTATGCAGACTACTAAGAAAATTAAACTCAATGCAAGTAAAGCACGTCTAAAAGATAAAGCTTTCAATACTCAGAAGTCGCTCTGAACTAACAACATACAACAGTATCAGATCGTATCAGTAACATTATGCTGCTATATTGCGAATTTTGCAATGTATCCGGCTCAATAAAAATGTTGACCTAAAAGCCCCTAAAGGCACTTCACATAAAAATGCATCAAGTGAGATTCCCAGAAGAGAAAATTTAACAAATGTAAAAGAGAGGAGAGCGTTTTCTCCTAAATTTTCCTCCACTTTTAGTTTGATGGACATCGAAACATGCTTTCCCTTTGTAGATCCAGCACCCGAAATTCTGTTTGACATAATCGAAAGTTCCAACTTACTTTTATAAAATTGCTCTAACAGTCTGCAGAAAATAATAAGCCGGATCCAATTCGAAGGTTAAGGAACAACGCAATCTGCAACATTAGCTGAAATAGATAATTAGATAATTTTACCTTAGTTTTATACCATCCGTTATACATTAAGCGGGCATGCATAAACATATTATGTGCATGCGTAAAGGTATTACGTGCATGCATCAACGCAATGCATGTGCAGAAAGTTTCTAGCTTTGAGGTCCGGATTATAGATCATTCCAGATTATGGGTGTCCAGATTAACGGCTTTTGACTGTAGTAGCTTTTTTATAGAAATTTCTATTGATTTTGTTGAGAAACTTGTCAAGTTTCAATATAGAGGTTCTTCTGCAATCTTTTAGTGTGCATATAGAAGTGTGCATTAGTAAATGATGCACAGATATTTATTTTGCTCTTACTGGAGTTTGTGGTAAGAGTAGTCCAAGCCAGTGAAGCATAGATAAGTACTGAATGCACAATTGAGATATAAATGAGATGTTTCTAATTGCAATAATTGGAAAAAGACAGTTGATGACTTTCCTTCTTAAGATTTTCCATGTGATCCTTCCAATTAAGTTTGCTATTGATAGTGATACCTAGATATTTGGCTTTGTGAACTTTCGGAACAATTCATCAAAAAGAGTTAGGTTTATCTTATGTAAAATATTTATGTGCTTTTTACAAATAATTAACAACTGAGATTAATGGGCATTGATGGATGCTCTCTCCGGCCTTATATAATTTTCACCCAGCCACCGATATATTTCTAGTACTTTCTGCTTCTTAAAATTACTGGAAGGCATACAAGGGCAGGATAATCAATTACAGTTATTCAATTACTATACCAATTACAGTTATTCAATTACTATATATATTACGGTAATACAGAGACTGGACCAAAATGTCACCAAATAGTCTCCAAGTGTGGCAACTTAGAGCAATTTACCATGAAATTAGGCAACAAAAATTACACGCCAAAACTGTTGCCAGCTTGACATAGTGAGATAGCCATATGCTCAGTGTTAAAACACTTGCCCCTATATTCTTATTTTTCTGGCAGAGTAGCCTCCTTCTAGGTCTTCATGTTACTTTATAAATAAAAAAACATAACAGTTTCCTATGTAATTTGACTAAAATTTTCCATATATTTTTAAAAAATTCGTAACAGTAATGTTATTAATCCTCATCATTACAGCAATTTTGATTTCCCAAAACAGTCTTCTTCTCTGAATTTAAAAAGCATGCAATGCAAATAAACAACAGAAAAAAAAAAAAAAAAGAGAGGAACCCGAATATTAGATTCTTTAAAGAAATATCTAGACACTTGCCTATCCCTGTGTTATAATTAAAAAAAATTAAATAATAAATAATTATGTATGTTTGTTTGTATGTATGTTTCTGGAATTGTGATAAAACAATGGTACCTAGAGCCATCAAATTTTGAATAACGTTCGTCTAGACCCGAATATGGGTATCTGGAAGCCTGAATTTGAAATTTATTATATTATCGATTTCATATTTTGTAACTCTTTAACAGATTTTTGATTAACAAACTTAAAGAATTCAAAGCAAGCAATGGCAACACTGTACGAAATAAAAAAACATTTTTATCTCCAGCACGCAGGACTGTGTATTGGAAATTTGAAACATATGCTCATTTCAATATTACTTTGTGATATTGCCGTTGAATTGAATTTTATGGTTTAAGTGCGAAGAACATGATATTTAACAAATAAAGGTAACACTCAAAACTTTAAAAAAAAAAAAAAATGCCCCTTTGGGTCTAATATAAATCTAAAAGCTTTCAGATTTTATTTTTATTTGTTCGACAATACTTTTTAGATGAGATCAAAATTCTTTCTTTCCTCCCAGTCCGTGCTTGATACTATTGCAGACTTGCCGACTCTCCCGATTTAGGCGGGAGACTCCCGATTTTCGACCGCTCTCCCGCCAACCCGATTTACAATATATTTCTGCCAACTTTTTCTTATTCTTAAAATTTCTCACGATTTTTATGGAACTTGGCTTAATACTTTGTTATATGAACAAAAAAAGTGATTTTGGACGTCCGAAGCAAATGAATTTTCTCTAGATTATACCTAAAACAAAACCTTGCGAATTAGATAACTTCTGCTTTGTGAGTGAGAGCATATACGTATCCAGAAACGTCCTTCTCCAGTTCTCCAATGGGCATCGTGCTCCACTGCGTGTCATCTGGCATATATTAGCCAATGAGGACAAAACAAGCTGTTATTTGGATGTTCTTTAGTTATTTCGATAATTTTGTCCTGAGTTGTGTGAGTACACGTGCCTTTGGGAAATAGTTTTAGAAATTATCATCTTTTGTTATGTCTGTGAGAAAGGTGAAATACTCGTGTACGTTTCAAAAATCCTACACAGTTGACTTTCCTTCCATTATTTCCTCAAGGAAATGTAATAAATTTGCAATGTGTACTGCCTGTCGTTGCGATTTTTCGATTTCGTATGTAAGGGCGGATGTTCTCAAACATGTGCGTACACAAAAACACAAGGATAACATGAGTTGTTTTGAAAAAAACGAAAAATTAAATTTTTCTTCGGAAACAAAGGACCAAAAAGTTATTAATGCAGAATGTCTGTTCTCTGCCTTTTTATTGGAGCACAACCTGCTACTGAATGCATCGGATCACGCTACAGCTTTATTTAGAAAAATGTTTCACGATAGTGAAATCGCCAAGAAATACTCAAGGTGCAAGAATCAAAACAGGTGCAATTGTTAAAGAAATGGGTTTGAAAAATAAATCTTCAGTTATTGATTGCATTAAAACAGCTCCGGTCTGCCTCTCTACTGATGGAAGCAATAATACCGATTCAAAACTGTATCCAATTGTTGTTTCTTTTTTTAATCCAGAGTCTTCAGAAATTGAGTGCAGTTTACTTTCTGTCCCCACTTTGGAAGGACATTTGACAGGCTTAATTATAGCACAGCTACTTATTAAAACTTTAAAGAAAATGCAGTCCCTCTGGATAATTGCTTAGCACTAGGTGCCGATAATGCACCAGTATTGGTAAGGCTTGAAGACTGGTGTTGCAGGCATCTTCAGAAAGAAAAATTCAGATTTGCAGATTATGAGGTGCACCTGTCACCTCTTAAATTTAGCAGCTGAAAAAGGAGTAGCTTCTTTACCAATAAATGTGGATGAACACATTGTTGATATTTATTATAATCTTGAAAGGAGTTCTAAAAAGGAGGAAAAATTGAAACTGCTATTATGCAGTTTCCAACAGTCCAACAGCTGCATAATAGCAGTTTACAATTAGAAAACTTGGATGAAGTTATAAAATCAGCTAGGATTGACACCCAGTGAAGTTTAATTGGAAAACTGAAAGATGCTGATGGAATTTTAAAATATAGAGAACTGTCTAGAATTATGTTGGCCATCTTGACAGTTCCCCATAGTAATGCAGAGTGTGAGAGGATTTTCAGTGTTATTGCGAAAACGAGGACTAAATTTAGATCTAATATTAGTGATGACACATTAGAAAACTTTTATTAGTGAAAGCAGGCCTACGTGGCAATTGCTATGAACAAAATTATGAAGTTTCTTTCTTAAAGAAAGCAAAATCTGCCACTGTTTTTACCATTTGTACAAAAACTGATTAAAGGTTTTTTTTTTTTTTTTTTCCTTTAAACGATGCAAGTAATAAAAATGTTTTTTATGTGTAAGGTATTTTTGTGTTGCTTGCATTTAAGAATTAGTTACTATTTAAAGTTAATTCATTATTAAAAACTATATTTTCCTCATTTAAAAAGTCTTTTTAACATTGTGAAAAATCTCCCGATTTCTTAAAAACATCTCCTGATTTTTGAGTGTCATAGGTTGGCAAGTATGCTATTGTTATGTGAAACAAATAACTTGCTTTTTAAGTATTGTATTATGTAAGTATTGTAAAATGTATTGCTTTAAGTTTAACTACCTTTCTGTCTACTACTGGTGCTAGATAAATGTATTTAAAAAAAAAATATTAGAAAAAAATAACTTAAGAAGCTGAAACTTTTATTCAGTGAGGAAGATCTGGATGATCGATCTTAAACCAATTTAAATATATATACATATAATTTTAAAAGTAAGTAAATTAATTCAAAATTAAGATTATTAAATCCAAAACCAGAAAATCGAGAGGAATAAATCTTTTCCCTATAAATATGCTATTTCCCAGAATTATCTATACCATTACAGTCTCTACTAGAACTCCTGAAAACATACCAAATCATCAGTTTAACATTCCAGCATGCGGGCTTGGCAATTTTACATGAGCACACACGCGTAGTATTTTTTACGACATCCGTTATTTTACTGTTTTTGGCACGAAAAATGACAGAAATGAGTGAATATTGATAATAAATTTGTTAAGAAATAAAATATTAATATTATTATTGCAAAATACAAATGATATCACATTCAAATATAAGTAAATTATTTTTAAGTTCTTATGTTAGTGAGATGGAAATGCAATGATGTATTTTATTATTTAAAATTTATTGTTTAATAATTATATTTTAAAATCGAAGCTAATTTTAATATTCATTAAAGGCAAGTATAGACAATAAAAAAGGAAAACACCTTGGTAGGAAAAAAGTAAGTTTAGCATTACTTACTTCTGCAAGGAAATTTACTTCTTACTGGTTACGAAAACGCCCTTTAAACTAACTTTAATATTTTTATTTATTTCTAAAAAATAGAAATAAAAGAAAATAAGGAATGGAAATCGCTATTGTTCTCCCATCCAAAGGTTTCCTTGTCTTCCTTTTCTTCATTAGATAATTCTTGAAGAAGGGGAGCAAAATCAGCTGGTTGCACATATTTTTTTTGCCATGAAAATCGATATAAAATGTACAGAGCCAAATGTATTCAAATTAAAATAATACATGGAAATGAATAACACAAAATTACAAAATATTTTCCGAATTTTCACCCATGACCACACGCGTGTCGTAACTTTTACGAAAAAGTTGCCATGTAGCACAAAAGCCTAGTAAAAAAAAAAAAGTCAAATGACATACTGGTTTCACATTCCATGATGTGTGGAAGGGTAGAAAGGAGGAATAGAAATGACCTTCAGAAGTCTCAGCTTCGATATGTGAAAAATGTGCATTAAAAACTGAATTGGTCATAAATTTTGTGCATATGTACGTGCTGGAAGGTTAAAAACAAAAAGAAAAAAAATTTTTTAACTTTTTCTAGAGATAGCAACTAGTTCACTTCCATTAACACACAACTTCACAAACACCAGGAAAGAAATATTCAAACATATCAATCAATCAGTTCCTCTTAATAATAACAATACATCTAAAAACTCAATTAAAATTCAATTACTACATTGGAACTTTTTATTAAGCAAGATTAATTATTGCATTGTGTTTTTTTCTTGTAGACTCCATGTTTTCATAATCTTCCAGTCAAACAAATGGATTGACTAGGGTAGATCACAAAATAAGAACAAAAATAATGCATTCGAAATTCAACAATAAATACATTTATTAATTTTCTCTTGGTTAAATAAACATTAAGGCTATGATATCTAGATTTAGGTCCTTACAACATTTTGTAGAGACGTTAGAATTTTTGATGCAGGAGACATGAAAAATTGCATGAAAAAAGCAGTGCCCTTGCCGGGACTCGTACCTGGACCTCTTGAATATGTACCGAGAGTGTACCATTACACCATTACATGTTCAAGTGAAGTATCAGTTTTATTAAGTATCCCATTTATCAATTTCAACCAAAATCTAATGTATTGTTTTCATTGATACAAAAGTCTTAAACATTAAAATAAAAAAGTTTTAGATTATATTTTAACACATTTTTTCGTTAAAAACTATTATGAGCGTCATGTAAAGGACCATTCCCAGTTCATAATTTTATCTAAAATATAATCATTTCTTTAAATGAATGCAGAAAGCTTAAATATGGAAAATATGAATTTTTGAAAGTTTGATTAAGAGTTGTCATGGACAAAAAAATCGCCACACACAGACAGATGGGCAGGCATCATTGTAAAAATAGGAAAAAATGTGTTTTGGGGATCCCAATGTACACTTATTCATTGAAAACTCACTATCGAGTTTTTGGATTTACATCTGGGTATATTGGTTGGTGTACAGGTTTCAAAATATCGATAAGTAATAAAAAGGTTTTCCAAAAATAAATAAGTAATAAAAAGCACATTTTTTTTTTAATTTAATAACTTTTTTGGGGGTTAGGGACAAACTTTTGACTAGACAACTATAGATGTAGAAATTATAAAAATAGATGTTACATCTTAAAATAAAGTATTGTTATTCAGCATTTTGTGTTAGACCACTAATACAGCAAACTCCTAACTTCAAAGTACTAAAGTTTTTTCTATATTTATGCAGACCAACTACTGGCAAGTGACTTAAATTGTGGAATCATCTGATCTTAATAACTGAATACAACATCAGCATCATGGTCTCTCCCCATGTATAACATAGAGTCTTCCACAAAGACATCTCTTCTCATAGGCAGTTAATTCTTATGTGCTTTGTTATAAATTCAATGCTATATTTATTTATAAAACATTCTTGAGAAATTCAGTGAATTCTTTAATATTTATGATTTTTAATGGAGAAAAGCAAATAAGAGGAAATATAAAACCAAACCTGGAATTAAGTTTTGTTTTATGTTTAAAGTCTTATATTTGATATAAATACTATGTATGTAGACTAGAAGAGAAACACGCTAATGTGACAATCAAAATCGTAAAAACAACCTTGTGTTTAGCGTAGGTATAACGAAACACTCAATCGATTTCGAGGGCAGCTAAAGGTCCCTCCTCATCAGGAGAAAGAAATACCTAGAAAGAAGAAAATAAAGGAGAAGGAGTCACAGAAACACATGGTCCTTATCAGCACTGCACATGGTTATAACTAGATTTTTAATCAGAGTTGCACTGGCCGCCTACTTTTACTGAGCCAGGCTATCTGATCGAGCATGAAAAAATTAGCGAAGTTAAAATAGGGAGCGAGGGGCAAATGCACCTTACGCTTAAAATCTGAACTTCAAATAATGGAAAGCAACCACTAAACAGATTTTTATACCCTCTGGTAGTACCAAACGCGAGGTAACGCCATCTATCGGCAAAAATAACTGAATTAAGATAGCAGAATTTTAAAGGCATTAGGAAGGACTGGATTGGACTTCAAATCATTAACTAAACCTGCTAAATCTTTGTGAATGTGAAAAGCCTCAAGAAAATCCAATTCACGTACAGAAGAAGCCTTTTGGATAATTTTTGCAGATTATCCTTTAGCTGCCCTCAAAATCGATTGAGTGTTTCATTATACCTACGCTAAATACAAGGTTGTTTTTACGATTTTGATTACTATGTATGTGTCTAAAAATCTCAATAAGGCATTGTGTGTTATAAATAAGAATAATGATGAAAAAAATTGAAATCAATTAATTAAAAAATTAACTTTAAAAATTTATTTACAGGAGCAAAACCCTTCAAGTGCCCTCACTGTGATATTCTATTTAGGACATCAGGTCATCGTAAAAGTCATGTAGCTTCACATTTCAAGGAAAGTTCTGGTCGCAAGCGTAAAGGTATACGCCCTGGTGAAACACAGGTTTTACTTTCAGAAAAAGATTCTGAGCCAAATACAGAAGTCTTGCCAGTTTCTGTTGCTGAAGGAGTTTTACCATCAGAACCTTGTACGGAAATCCAACTGTCTGCTGTCAATCAAGAAGGCATGCAGCAAATTCAGACATCAAATTTCGTGGAACAGAATGTACAGATTGCAACGCTTGATCCTTCTATATTATCAAAGTCTATTCAAATCGATGCAAATTTATTTCAACAGCTGCAACAGCATGTTAATATAAATATTACAATTAGCCCTAGTCTTGCAGAACATTTAAATAGCCAGAGCATTACTGATCCTAATCAAAGTCAGCAACTTTTAAATATTGATGGAACATCATCAGCTGGATCTGCAACATTCCCTGTGAACCCAAATATGATAATCCATCACTATGGATTTGCAATGAATTCACAACCACAAACGGATGTTCAAACATCAGACAATGTGACACTCATAATGTCAGATCCAATGTCCAAAAATGGAAATAATGATATTTACCAAAGTGCTGAAACCATAGATTCTCAACTTCTTGTTGCTGAAAATAATCCAAATAATGAATTAGCTGTTGTGAACACAAGTAAAAACGTATCTGAAGTGTTTGTTACTAAGGGAAATATTTCCAGCTATCAGGTATTAAATTCTACTGCAAGTGAGCATTCCCTTGAACAATTATTTCCTTGTTCTGTTTGTGATAAAGTTTTTAAATCTGCCAATCAGTTAAATGGACATCTGAAAATACACAGAACAGCAAAAAGCAATTATCATTGCCAAGATTGTCAGAAAGATTTCCAAAAGAAAAGTCATTTTTCAAAGCATTTACAAACGCATCATTAAAATAAGCCCCCTTCCCCTCCACACACAAAGTTGCTGCAAACTAGATTTAGAAATTCATACATTATTAAAGTAATTTTTATTTTAGTAAATGCCTATAAATTACTTTGTATAATAATTGTTATATATAAATTAATAAGTTTGTTATATGTAAACTAATATTTTTCTATGCTCAAAGGATAAGTACTTTAAATATGTTTTATAGAAGTGAAATACTCTTTTCTGTGATGTAATTTATATTGTTATCATTGTCTCATTTGTGTTAAATTTAAGTAAACCATGTACTTAATTAATTGATTTAATTTTCTTTGTTCATGTTTTTGGTAACGTGTTGTTTCTTTGACAGTAAAAATTTATTCTAATCAGGTATGAGTAGTTCAATGGAAGAAAAACATTTTTTCCTGCATAATTCTAAAAAATATATATATGAAATTAATAGTTTAAATTTATTATATTTTATATGAAGAGTTAATAAAAGTTATATAGTTAGTTATTCAATTTATTTAATGTCTAGTCATAAAAATGAATGTAATAAATTGTGGTTATTTATGGTTAGAGCATTTATTTTCATCCATATGTTGTACTCTTATACATATGATGAGGTTTATTTTAAATATTTGTACCTAAGTACAGTAAAAATGAGAACATGAAAATCTGCATGCTTTCTCAAAAAATTGTAAACAATTATACAGTACAAAGTCCGTAATCCGGACTCGTTGGGACTTCGGCGATTCTGGATTAGGGTTTTTTCCGGATTATAGATCATCAATTTAAATCTGGTAAGAGGGAATGCAGAAATTATACAATTAAATATATGAAATAAAGAGGAATTATGATCTAAAGGGTATCAAAATTTACAAAAAAAAGCTTAATATTTATTTGTTTACTTTATCAAACATTTCTATCAATGTAAGTTGTTTAAGTTGCTTCGTTTTGTGTGCTAATACTTTCTCTTTAATTCTATAAACAGACATAATTTCTTGTTCACTGTTCAAGTCCTGTAATTGCTGTGTCGAGAATACTGACTAACTTGTCAATCGAAATTTTTTAGTTTTCAATAAAGTTCTCTGTTACTTTCTTCACTATCGGAAGCGCGCATGGGTAAACGCTTTACTGGTTTTGCGCGCATGCGTAGCGGACGTGAGCATCAAATGTGCATGCGTAAGTTCGTGTCTTTTGAGGTCCAGATTATAAATCATTCCGGATAATGGACGTCCGGATTAAAGACTTTGTACTGTAGTTTTTTATTGACAATCATCTTAAGAACAAATTTACATTTAATCTTGAAATGTCAAAAATTATTGAATTTATTTCTTTTCTAAAAGGTAGGTATCTATTTCCTAGTATAAAAGGTATTTTTATGTTACAGTGATCACCATACAAGAAAACTGCAAAGCACAAAATGTCAGTGTATATAAAATTACCAGGCAGAAAACACATGGCAATAATGAAAATATTATAGAAAAAAAAGTAAAATATATCATAATTAGTGTGACATATTTATACTGATATCTTGCGTACAGATTTGTCTTACAATAATATCTTAATGAACCTTCTGATGGCCATATGTCTGCAAATGCTGGGAATATAGCAAAAGTTTTCCTTTCCTATATACTGGCATCACACACATCATTCTATTCTGTGCAGGATTTACGTATAAGCTACACAAACTATAACTTAGGCCCCCACTTTTTTGGGGGCCCCCAAAAAAATTAAAATATAGTATAAATATACTATTAAATTGTGTGAACAGATCTCTCTCATATAACTACTCAGCATTTATTGTTTTTTGCAGTTTTAACTGCTTCTTGCACCATTAAATGACTTTAGCTGTACCCAAGGGTAAATAAATTAAAATGTTGTTAGAAATTATCAAGGAATCATAGAACCTCTCTTTCTTTGGCATTACTAAAATGCTATTTTTAAATATGAAAACAAACACTTGTAATTAAGAATACATACATAAAAATGATTCCATTAATTAATTTAATAACCTATGAAATTTTTAATTTCTATAAATTTAAATTCTCTCCGATTTTATGAAACAAAAGCAGGAGTGGTTTTTAAAATGACCATTTTTATGAGTCATGTTTGTATATGTTACAGATGTCACACAGCATGGCCAAAAAGTAAGCGCTTTTATTAATGGATTTTGCAATATAACACGGAAACATTTGCAGTATGGTACTTCAAATTTTAGTAGCTTCATAATTCAGTAGTAATAACTTCATAAAATAAAAAATTGATAGCTTTCATATTTGAGCATGTGATTAAATGGCATGAAAAAGAAATGATTTAAGCAATATTAGTACCACTTACAAAATAAATAAATAAATAAGAACAGTAAATTACATCATTACCCTATTGTTTCATCTCCAAATGTTTTCATTTTTGATGTTGATCATTTTTACATATTTTATAATGAAATAAAATATTTTTCTTAAAAGAAAGAATTTTTCTTTGTGGTAAATCAAAAATTGATAACATGTTTTTCATCCAAAAGAGTGAAGACAATTATCATTATGCTCTTTGAATCTGTCTGTCAAACATCTTTCTTGAACAATATGTTATCTGTAGAGGTGTCAGGTAGTTTAGTTTTCACTTGATTACCAGCTTTCATGATTAATTGCATGGATTGTGATGTTCTTTCGAGGTGGGCGCTTAACACAAAAAGAGCATAAGACATTTTGCAATGCATAATTGCAAAAAACGATAGCAATACACTGACCTGCATGATCTTTAATTGTGATACTTTATGATGAAAAGTATGATTTTTCTGTGTTTAAAGAGAAAAGTTATTTGAACTATTAGTAGTAATTTTTTCAATGTATTATATTAATTTTCTTTGAATTAAATACTGTGTTAATACCTGAAAGCTAAGTTGTGTTTAGCCCTCAGCAAAATAAACACAGTCAATATTTGATATAAATATGTGATATAGTATAAATGTTATGATTTTTCATATTTTTACTATTGAGATTCATATTTTGTAATATGTACATTTTTTAAATTTTGATCTTAAAAAATTTAATAAAACGGAATTACTTGTTGTATTAAATATAAATAGTACAGGCCGAAAAAAAACGATATTATTATGAAAAAAAGAAAGTCTGAAAGCTTTCAGATTATGCCCTGAAGGGCGTTTTTTTAACGTTTTGTATGTGACCATTATAAATATCATGTTCTTTGCATTTAAACAGTAAAATTGGTAAAATCCTAGTATACGGTGCAGCCTTGACGAGACTTTGAAAATTATCGCCAACACCAAAAATGATCCAAAGAACGTCTATATATATATAAACTATATGCACATAGATATGTATATACACACATAGTATATATACTATATACAAAGTATATATAATATTAATACTTTATATTATATATACTATGTATATAGTACTATATTACTATAATATGTAATACTTTATATTACTATAATATGTATATAGTAATTACTATATACATAGTATATATATATATATATATATATACTATATTTAACTGCATATTTTTTTGAATGACCCGTTAACTACTCATCGTATATGTCCCGTTTTACTGCTCACCACTCTTAGTAAGTCAAAAGAAAAAGGTAGTAAATTTCCCGTGGCCTTTAACCGGCCATACTAAGATTAAACCATTCAAAATTCAATATAACAGCAATATCACGAAATACTTAAGATGAGCACATCTTTAGAATTTCAGATACACAGTCTCGCACGCCCTGGAGATAAAAATATTCTCTTTCCTGTACAGTGTTGCCATTGCTCGCTTTGAAATCCATGAGTTTCTTAATCAAAAACTCGTTACACTTGCTTACAAAATATGAAAATAGATAATAAAACAAATTCTAAATTCCAAATTTGAGGATTTCAGATGCGCCGATATTCGGGTGGAGACGTACGTTATTCAAAACTGGATGGCTCTGGTATCGTTATTTTATTACAATGCAAGAAACATACATACATTTATGCAGATTCTTCATTATTTAATTTCTTTAAATATAATACAGGGCGATAATATTTGGTGGCAATAATTTGAAAAGTGATTCAGACTTTTACAGTTTTTGTAAACGTTTTTGATGCAAAATTCCAAAACGAAATTAATAGCCCTTCTGGGCTAACGCCCTTTGGGCTAAAAATAAAATAAAATTCTGATCCTATTTTGTGGGAAATTTTTTGAATTAACTTTGTATCCTAGTAGGGAGAGCCCTTCAGAATCGTATATTATTGTAGTTTCTAAACTTGCAGCTATCTGTTGCATTATGATTCTGATGATGACACTCCAAATACAATCTTAATATAAACAGAAAATTTTGTGTTAAGTCTTTTCGTCGATATTTCATTTCATTCGGAAATTATTGCAGCCAAGATGCATTACTTCTTTATATCTGAATAAAATTTAATATTCTTCATCAGGTTGCTCTATAGTTATCTATTGTGAGCTTTAGTTTCCTAAATCATATATTGAGTCTCTTAGTTTCATACAAACTGCTAAGGAACATGCACGAACTCAATTAATGCACAATAATTTAATATTTTCATTATAATGTAGACTTTTTGTGGCAACAGTGATGTTTTGTTTACATATGCTTTGAGCGTGATAACGCACCGAATGTTCTTTTTGGATATGTTTGGAATGCAAAAATAAATAGGTTCCTTGTTAATTAAAAAGGTTTTCTCTGCGAAATATATTTCCATTCGTCCGACGTTATTAAAATAAGTTAAGAACCTGATTAATATAAAAAAAAACTGACGTCCGGTGACAGAACGGAATGGCTATTTGAAGAAAATGAAACATCGAGTTCGTATTGGAATTTATCAAGTGAGTTTATTATTTATTTGGGTGCTACTTTGGTAGACGGTTGCACGGATTTTGGCGAGTAATACGACTTATGGTAAACCCATTGCTGGATAAGTTATTTATGGTAACCGATACTTTGTTGTCATTTTATTTTAAAATAATGCGTGTTATTATGCATAAATTCCGTGTTTTAAATATTATTTATGGCTTCTAAATATTAAAAATCAATTTAATTTTGCATTTTTATTTGAAATAAAAATTTTATTGTTTATGATATTTTACGCTGTGGATGGTGTATCATGGACCTTATAAGAGATAGACTAACCCAGTGGGCGGGGCGCGCGTCACCGACATGTCGGCAAGAAAGAGTAGGGACAATCTGGTTTACTTATGGCGTTTGTATCACATAACCTATGGCGTTTGTATCACATAACTCTTTTTAATTATTAAATGTGATACGTTGTATAGTGATGAGATTATGAAAGCCACAGTTTTTTCCAAATAGGATTTAATATATCTCATTAAAGCACTTTTTACTGCATTTCGCGCATTTTTTTCACGCGTAATTCTTGTGCAAACATCTTTACTTTGGTAAAACGGTAGAAGCTCTAGGCACAAAATTTATAAAGTTAATTTGAAAAATTTATAAACTGAATTTTGCGTACAAATAACGTAAAATTAAATAAGATTGATAGTACGTGATGCTTTGAAATAAATAAGGTAAAATTAAATAAGATCTGATAACTTTTTAAAAAAATTTAATGATCATTTTCCGGCAGTGATTTTCAAAACAATAATATCATTACAAAACAATCATTATTTGATTTATATCATCATTGACTTATTAACATTAAGGTGGAATATTTATTTTAGTAATTTATAAAATTCGAAGCATAAAATTTTCTGAGTGTAATGAAGGGGGGGGGGGGGGAAAAGGGTAAAATAAATTCTAGAAGCATTAAGTTATTATATTACGTCCAAAAGGAACC